TGTTAGGGCAGGCCAGGTCCACCTGCCGTCTCCCCTGACTGGGTTGGTTAGTACTAGCCAAAAACGCAATTACCAGGTTTTCTTGGCAACCCTGGCTGTTGAATAACCAGCGGAAAAAGTTCACTTCTCAACGCTTGTTTAATGAAGCAATTGGTTGCAGTTATTGATTACAGATTTGCAGTGAGAAATCGAGCAATTTATGTGGTCGTTAATACGATTATGCACTAGATCTTCCATTAGCAACAGAGTTATAGAGGACAAAGTCACGGTGACCGTTAGTCACTAGCTGGGTCTCCCTGGACACCAGCTAGCCCCACATTAGAATGCGCCCCCTTCCCCGCCCCTTAGATAATGACCCATTACTTTCTCGGAGAAAGTGTCCTAGGGGTGGTAGAGCCATACAGGGATCCCCTCTACAAAGCCTCGCGGGGAGGGGGGCGGCTTTCTCCCACTAGTTACACCTGAACCACTTATATAAGCCCCTAACCTTGGGGTTGCTATACTGACGCTAATTGGCTGCTATCCTACACGTCTGTCTAATCTATCTGAAAACAAAGTCCCTGGGACGTGGGTGATCTAGATTGATCTAAGACTAGTCTAGTAGGTAACCAGCCATCTTGTGGCACTTGACACGGCAGCTGCCATGACTGAAATTAGCCGGGGCGGGCTGCCCTATCACTCGCCAGTCAGAGCGGGTGGTCAGCCAGTTAGCTACTATGCTACTAGTAATATCAGGCGATGTTCGCTAAAGTAGGCGAGCCAAATTTCTCCGATCTAAAATAGTCAGCTTTACTACAGATTCACAATACTCTTTCGCCCCTAGACAATTCCTCTGCTATCATACAGTGCCTTCTTTTACGTATTTCTCTTCCAAATAGATGTATCTATCTTCCTCGCAATAATTATGCTCGCAGCAATATTCGTCGCAATTGCAGCATGCGCTGGACTTTATATGCTGCAATGTGGCTAGGCTTCGCGAAGTACTTGGGCCCTAGAGCGGCTTGTAGGCCAGACAGTACTAGCATTAATTCACGGCTCCTGTTCTAGCTGGCTATACATATCTTCAACGCCTTTCCTTCTGACCCTTTTTACTTTCCACTCTCCCCTCGCCTCTCCCTGCATCCAGGTTGCGGCGACTTGGACAATGACTAGCATTGAGGAGATGACTAGAACCGGGATGCAGGGGACAGGAGTGCAGCACCGCTCCCATAGGTCGAAGCTTTAGTTCAAATGACTCGAGCGGACAAAAACTGCTCGCTTAACCAAACACGGGCGGCTTGGCTAGAGCTGAGTTATATGTGCCTACAGCCTGAGTCAAGCCTAATCGTCAACAGCTCGCTCAGTGCTAGCACGTTATTACTGCAAATTAGAAGCTCCACTTACCCCAGAGACTGGCAGAACCGCTGATCAGTGCCTCTCTGACAGCTAATCTTGATTTCTCTATGCAAACTCTCGCTGTATACTAGCTTTGCGATATTGTTTGTTCATGAAAAAAGGGCACATTAAACAGAACGAATAAGATGATAGATTTAGCCCTCGAGATACGGGTTGACGAGAATAATCACGACTGCAACGCTAGAGCAGGCTCTTGCGCTCTAACCTAGCCAATACTACTTCTTTCGAGAATTACTTAGCCTTACTATATTTCGGCTTCGTTTTCATCTCTTATCCAATAGTTTGTCCTTGACGCTGTTAGCATTTCTGTCACAATGCCTCAATATTATTGTCTCTGAAATTATAGAAGGCGCAGGCAAAGGACGAAATAGTTCTAGCCTGTATGCAGTCCCGTCATGAAAGGGCAGGGGTAGACGCAAATAGAGTTCGAGCTACTTAGTAAGAGTAATGCCAGAGAACTGAGTCATGGGCCAGTGAGTCCAGTAAAGGATGGCATGAACCCTTCTCTGCTACTAAAGCCCACTTTTCTGTCGAATTTTCTCTAGAGTTTGCTAAACCATTGCTACCATGTCGTCCTCGGATTCTGTCCTTCCTTACTTCGAACTCAGCTGGTCCATATTAAGCAGCTTTGATTTACTACATGTTGTCGCTGCGTTATTGATTGTTCCAATAACGGGTGTCTCGACGCTGTGGGCCGTGCCCGTTGTGTGTTCTGTCGCGTCATCTATCGCGAATGGTTTGTGTTATATAGCATACTACTCTGACGCTTCTACAAACTCAAAAGTGCTGGCAGCTGCTTTTGCAGACATGTTTTGGTTGGTAAATATATAGCAAATTCAGGTTAATATGTCTGCCAGGATCTAACAATATCATAGATTCAAGAAGCTGGACTGCCATTTTACAGTTACGACATTCTCCGACGATTTCTACAAGGAAAATCCAGAATCATTTTCTTCTCACTCTTCTGGTTTCTTATCGTATCTACCCTTGCCTTCCGCGGTGCTATCCTTAGCCAGAGAGTTCTGGACATTCTATCTAGCAACACCACTAGACAAGCCCTCATAAATAAGCTTCATATCGGCTATTTCGGCTCCTTGGCTCTCCTTGAAATCGTCAGCGCTTTCTTCCTTCTTCGCATCTTTGTCCAAGGCAAGCGCCAAACTCGAATTCTCCCCTCAGGGAGAAATCTTTTTAAACAACTCATACTCAGCACTGAGGTCAGAGTCTCCTCATTAGCTATTCTTGGTATTGGTCGAACAATTACATATCACTTCCACACCACGGCGCAGAGCGCTACCAATCTAGCTGGCGAATTAGATCGCTTCCTAGTAGCGTGTCAAAATTACTTCCCTGTAATTATGTTGTAAGTGCCTACTTCTATTAGACCTTGTAGCCTCTCTCACCAGGAGCGATTGATACTGATATACTACTCTTAATAGAATCGACCTCTTGACTACCCGCATCGCCAACGCCGAAGACACTAATAGTGCCACATCAGCTTATCAAAGATCTGCTGCAGGCAATCCTGTCACAATAGAGCTCAACCGGGTGAACAACGAAGCGCGTAAGGACATAGATCGGCAAACATTTGTGCGGATTAAGCCCGATACAGACAAGCAGAGCTTAGAGGATATCACAAAACCATGCCAGAAAGCTATTTTAAAGTCAAGCACGTTCACTGTGGAGCGAACGGATGTAGTAGTGCATCAAGTTTAAGAGGTTACGTCTATATCCTTTTATCTATGTCCACGGCAGTTGAACGCATATCTGTAAACAACGATACGCCGTTCGGATGGATCATCAATAGACTTTTAGTTCACTGACTGTGAATGTGACAGTGATTTTTCTACCTAATACGAGGCGCGATTTACACCCTATATCACGATAAAATAGCTTGGCGTGAGGTTCTCTATCTATATCTAGTTATTTTGTACTCTCCAGATAATAATATCAACTTCTCCAAATTGCGTAAAATAGGCTTAATAACAGGACTTACTTAATGTCAAGTTTTGGATCAGCCACATGGCGAATAATGCTGGCTATTCGCTTGCGCAATGCAAGAATAAAGAGTAACGAAGATAACGAACAGGTCTGAGTGCAAAATCTGAGCTATACAGGGTATATTTCAGTTAATCGAATGACCTTAACTAACCAAGGATAATCCTAGTTGGCGAAGTGTAATTCGTATTCTAGATTGCCTTCGATACACGTCCTACCGCATGCAGGTATGCTATTTTTTACTTGCGCTAACATATAGGTAGCGGTTAGATTGGAGTTGCTTATCTAAGACCCCTATCCAACCCCAACCTCTACCCATATGCCGACCTATGGCACATTCGGAATCTCTCCCAACGAAATTTTCCAGTCCAACTACCATGCCAAGGCAGAGTGCAGCAAGAAATTAGCTGGCCCTGGCCATAGCTATCCCCAAAATATCTACCGTAACAGCTTAAAATTGTACTCATTCCATAGGGTTAGGGGGTGGGGGAGGGTTGTAGGGTAAAAAATTAAAGTCGCGCTTTGAAGCTTCATATTGAGTACGTTCAGCGTAAAAAAAGGGACGTAGCGCCGGAGTCCTTGTGGTCCCCGGATCAAGTGGACTTCTGAATGATTCCAATGATGCAGCAACGGCAGCGTCAGCTATAGGCTACCCCGTGATGCTCAAGGCCACTGTTGGTGGTGGTGGCATGAGTCTCTTGATTTTTCGAGACGAGAATGAAGTACGCAAGAACTTTGAGACTATGCAGTCCAGTGGCTCTTCACTCTTCAAAAATGCGAGCGTGTTCATAGAGCGTTTCTACCCCGAAAGTCATCATATTGATGTCCAAGTCTTCGGAAACGGGAAGGGAAAAGTGATCAGCGTCGGTGAGTGTGAGTGCTCAATCCAGCGCAGGCATCAGAAGGTTATTGAGGAATGTCCTAGTCCATTTCTAGAGCAGAAACATCCAGATTTGCGGCAGAAGCTTACCGCAGCGGCTATTCGATTAGGAGAAAGCATCAAATATGGACCTGCAGGTACTGTGGAATTCTTTGTGGACGACCATACCGGCGACTTCTTCTTCCTAGAGATGAACGCAAGGCTTTAGGTGGAGGATATTATCACCGGGCTTTGCTACTAGGTCGATTTGGTTGAGCTGATGTATCGTCAAGCTGATCGCCAATTATAAGGACGCGGTGGGATTGACGCGTCCGAGCTTGAGGCTCTGCAATCCAGATGCATCAAGCCATCCCGTCAACCTATTGAAACCAGGGTATACGCAGAGAAACCTGCCCGAAACTATGCCCCAAGTCCCGGCCTGTTGCAGCAGGTCACTTGGCACGAACCGCCCGGCACCCGCATTGATACTTGGGTGTACGACGGTATCGTAGTCAGCGCAGATTATGATCCACTACTGCCGAAAGTCATGTTCTATGGAGCAACAAGAGACGAGGCTCGCGATGGTATCCAGACTATCCTTGCGAAGAGCTCACTTTGCGGGCCACTGATCAATCTTGACTTCTTGGCCAACATTGTGCGCGATCCAAGGTTCAGATCCGGAAACACTACCACCAAACTCCTGAAAACATTCAGCTATACAACCAAGGCTATTGATGTCATTTCAGGCGGGTTGTATACACTGATTCAGGACTACCCTGGGCGACCAAGAGTTGGACGTGGCTTTGGGCACGCAGGTCCCATGGATGAAATCGCTTTTCGTGCTGCTAAAATATTGGTCGACAACCACTCAGGTAATGAGACGCTTGAGATCACTTTGATCGGGCCTGATATCCGTTTCCTGTGTGACGCCTCGGTGGCATTGTGTGAACCACCAGTGACCAGCCTTCTTGACGGAAAACCTATGGCTCAATGGTCCAGATTTCATGTCCCCACTGGTAAGAGGGTCACTATTGGAAAGTTAACGGGTAATTGTAGAGTCTATCTTGCCGTTTCCGGTGGCTTCCCTCATATCGTGGAATGGAGCGGTAGTAAAGCTACGTGCCCCATGGTCAACATCGGCGGCTATCAAGGTAGACCACTAAGAGCTGGTGATCTTTTCTCCATCATCGAAGCGACTGCTGAATTCATTGCTGAAGATGTTTGCTGTGCTCGAATGTCTCAGACCTACATACTATACCTCCGACTGGACTGTCCAGGTCATGCCAAGGCCTTACGAGACAGGTTTCATGACACCCGAAGATATCGAAATCTTTTTTTCATCGTTTTGGACCATCAGCCACAACACATCTTGAGGAAATATTCGATTGATCGGTCCTCGTCCAAAGTATGCACGCACGAGCGGGTGTGAAGGGGGAAGCCATCCAAGCCACGTTACTGTCATCGGAATCGATCTCTGGAAGATCGGCCAATTACGTCCTGGGGATGAATTTCGCTTCAGGAAGGTCAATCTCTCAGATGCCTTGGAGGGCAGAAGAAGGAAAGAGAAGTTTCTTGCAGGACTCACTTCGGCAGTAGCGTCTCGATCATGGCAAAGCACTCCCAAATTCGAGTCCTTCCTTGGCGAACCCTATGTTGGTACCGGGGATGATGTAGCCCTAAGCATTGAACCCCAAGGAAATATACCACGAATCACTCATCGCGTTGGGGCTGATAACTACGTACTCTTAGATTATGGCGAGGGCGACTTTGATCTGAACCTAAAAGTCAGAACTCTGGCTTTGCAGAGATTCCTTGAGGATGCTACTGGTCGCATATTCTTGAATGAGAGCGCTGGAGGTGCCATTGTACAGACGGTCAGCTGTGGAAACTCTCTAACACTCTTCCATGATGGCTTAAGGCTGAGCCAAGCAGAACTTGTCAAGGGGCTGGTTTCCATCGAACGCACGTTCGGAAACATGCGATTAATGTCAGTTCTCAATCGCCATTTCATACTTCCTGCTACTTTCACACACAGAAAGCTCGAAGATGCCATGGACCGATACATGACTAACCAGCGCCCTACTGCCACATATATTCCAGATTCATTCAAGTACCTAGCTGAGATCAATGGCATGTCGCCAGATAAATTGAAACGAGCAGGTTCCCAACATCCGTGGTGTTGTTTTCGGAGTCGGATTCTTTATGGCTTTGCCAGTGTTGCTTGCAGCAGATCCCCGACAACGTCTGAGATGCCCAAAGATGAATCCCAGTGGGACTTACATCCCTCAAGGCTGTTTGGCCTGGGGCGGAAGCGTAATTTCAACGTATCCGGTGGATGCTCCAGGAGATTATATGCCCATAGGGACGACGATGCCTGGTGTAGACATCTTTGGGACCAATTGTGGCTTCACCAAAGAATAGCCTTGGATCTTTCAGGACATGGGTACAGTTGGGTTTTACGAAGTCACCGAAGAGGAATACGATGCTGAGATGATGAGATTCAAATCAGGAAGCTACAAATACAAGATGGAAGAGAGCACCTTCGACTTGGTAGAACACAATGAACTACTGAAGAGTACCGCTGAAGAAGTAACTTCACTACTAGAAGTATGCGGCAAATTCCAAGGCGAGATGGCTATCAAGGAGAAGAAGATTCCGCAAGAGTGGCTGGAAAGCAAAGCTGCGACAAATGTATCCCAGGACGGCATAAACACTGACGGGAAGCTTTTTTCAAGATCATTGTGGATCTGTGACACCCGATTCCCGTCGTGCAGATCTAATACTGACAACATTGGATCCCAGCACCCACATCCGTTGAGTCTCATGTGAACGCCAATGTTTGGAAAGTTCTTGTAAAAGACGGAGACGTCATAAGGGCCAGACAGAAGCTGGCTATCCTCGAGGCTATGAAGATGGAGATCGATATCTGTCTGGATGCTCACATAGAAAAGGCTACCGTGAAGAAAGTGTTAACCCAGCCCAGCGATACAGTAGCCGGTGGAAGACCGTTATTTGCCGTTTCATAATTTTAACAACGGTAGCTTAGACTTGCATGTTTATGATTCACGCCCAGACCCTTACTATTCAAATACCAAATTGGTTGTTCAGTGAGCTTGTGCGTTACCACTACATCTACGAAAACGTTTTTACCCAGGTAGTGCAACAGTTATCACCAGTGTTGGTTTCAATAACACTGACCGCAGCTACTGACGTAGTCACGACTGAGATCAGGGTCATGAGTCTCATTTCTCGAGATTCATGTATGTGATGGGGCTGTATAGCTGTGATATTCGCGTTTAGGATATGTGATTCAACATCAAACATCCCACATTTAGTGGAATTGAGTTTAACGAAGCCTCTACGAAAAGACGAAATTTTGACTTTGATCCAAATACAGTAGGAAAGTGTGAAAAGTTAATTCTAAAGTCACGTTGTTTCTCGCATGACTTCCAGAACATTGAAATATGGAGTCAAGAAACAAGGGTATCTAATGAATTAATTATGTAATTGCTAAACCGATAGTAGCTATAGTGCCTGACTTGTACTACTCTTGCTATGCATGTACTTATACAGACCTAGAAATCCTTAAGTACTCCATCCTCTCGAAAAATTAATACGCACCCAATGCAAGAGAAGAGGAGGACTTACCGATTACCACGACGTCCTGGCAGTGGGGGTGGTATGAGTGGGTTGCCATAGGCGTCTGTGTTGAGGGCTGTGCGGCAGTCGGGACAGTACCATTTTGCGCGGCGGGAAGGTATATCGTCTTCAGTCATGTTCATACAAGGAAGATGGAACCATTCTCTATCGCACTGCGAGTCGTTAGCTGAGACGATGCGGCTCTGCAAACGTAAGCTTACATGATTATCGCACGATATCATTGCTCCATAGCTGACATCGTCACAGATACAGTATTTTGGCTCATCTGGATCAATGTCATCTGCCACTTCCGCCTCCTCTTCCGTCTTCCTCTTTCTTTTGTTTTTGCTACCTTGGGCGCGCTTGACATTGGTGACGGTCTTCTGGCCATTTTCAGCAGCAGTGACCTCCCCTTTTGGGGGCGGTTTTCTTCGCGAGCTAGTGCGGGTAGGTGCAGGAAGCGAGGGGTTTACTGTAAGAGAGGATGCAGGTTGGCTAAAGACACTATGACGACGGGTTTCGCGAGTGATCCTACCTTGTTCATTTGGTTTTGGTTCTTCGCTTTGGGCTTTGGGCGCGGGAAGATGTCCGCGGGCGGAACGAGGACGCAAGGCTGGGGGCGCAGAAGTGTCTGGACCAGGTTCTGGTACTGATGTGGGCGTCTTTGAGGTCTTGAGAAGCTGAGGAGCCTCGGGCGGGGTATGTGCTTTTGGTACAAGCGACTCGCGACGAGACCTCGTCGAAGCTGCTGTTGTGGCGGCCAGAGCAGGAGCTGGCGCAGGGACAGATTCATGATCTGGAACTTGCGTGAGTGCTGGTACTGGGGACGGCGACGCTTCTGGCATAGCTAGAGACCTTTCAGATAGCGCTGGCGATGTCCCCAGAGGCGTCAATTCGGGACTCAGCTCAGGACTTAGCTCTCGTAGTGCAGCCCTATAAGCTTTTGGGGTGCTTGGGCCGGCCGTTACAGGTGGCGCCTGTACAGTATTTCCATCGACTGTAACATTGGTAGATTCTACAAATGGTGCAGGAGCATTCGCCAGCGGAGAATGAGCAGCAGAAATGGAGAGATCTCGCGGCGTGGACACAGTGGAGCCAGGAGTTGGTATCGGTGAAGAAGTGGCATGTGGTGCCGAGGCGATGAGCTGTAGCCGTGCGCGCTTTGATTCTGGTGGTTTTGTTGCGCTGTCTTGAGTGTCTACAGATGCTTCTCGCATGACTTCAATAGAGCCATCCGTGTCAAGGGGTGGAGATGCGTCACGTTTGCGTTTGGTGGCGAGTCTGGTTATTGACTTTCTCTTCTGGCTTGTAGGTGAGGTGACAGTGGAGTTGAAGTTTAATTCTTTGAGCCCATCGGCGGCCTCTTTGATCTTTTCGGACGCGCCGATGAGCTCTTGAGCATCCTGCATGGCTTTTTGGCGTTGTGACGTGCGATCGAGTCTCTTTCCATCCTCGGACGTTACAGGCTTGAGGCGAATGCTTACGGGGCCAGTCTCATCTTTCGCTTCCTCTTCGGCAGGCTCGGTGGGCGCAGGTGGGTTTGCCGGTTGTGGAGCATGCGAAGAGACGGTTCCCAGGCCAGAGGTAGTCATGATCTGTTGCAATGTTTCGGGCTCCTCATCAAGGAAGGGTTCGCCGGTGGCCTCGCACCGAGCCTTTTCCCTTTCGTAGTCGGCCTCTGTGCGGTGCTTTTTCTCGAGTTCGCGAATCATCATAGTCTGGCTGGGCGTCCACACGGCATTCTTCTTCATTTGCTTGCGCAAGACAGCCATTTCATACTCGGTCAGCTTCTTCCACGGCGCCCACTTGCTCCCCGGCTTCGCGTCAGCTGGTGGAGGAACAAGCTGGGCGAGGGCATTGCTGGTAGATATTCCGGCTATGGAGCTGTGTACGTTTGTGCCCAGCACACCCGCAGCACGCGCTCGGCCGCCGGTTGGTCTCGAATGCCTGTCCCTGTCCTGTTTGCGCCTTCGGGGGGATGCAACATGGATAGCTGATGCGTCGTCGGAATCGTCTGAAGAGTCAGATGCATCCCGGGCTCGACCGCGGCCTCGAGCAGTAGTGGTCTTGCGGTGGCGATGGCGCTGGCGCGAGTTGCTGGCGCCATGGCGGCCGGCGTCAAAGTTGAGGCGCAGATGGGCAGGGCGTTCGTAGTTTCGGTATACGGGGCGGAGCGCGGTGGGAGAGACTGGTGGAGGCGTGGGATCGCGCGAGGGAGGCTGAGGTTGGGCCTGGAGCTTCCGCTTGATGACTGACGAGCGCTGGCAATGGCGGACGGTGACCTCGTACAGGCGCGAGGCCTCGGTGTAGGCAAACTCGCGCTGGTTGATGGCCTTTTGGAGGTGGTGGGCGATTTGCTTGCGCAGTAGGACGGGATCAGGGCGGTCTTGCTCAGGCAGCGTGGGCAGGCGGCCATACTGGACCGTCAGCTCGTGGACCTGCTGGACGGCGTCGGCGTAGGTGGAGTCGAGGTCGGCGATGAGGGTCAGCGAGCGCACCAGGTCCGAGGGAAAGAATTCGGTGTAGTCGAGAAAGTCATTGACGGTTGTCTGGGCGTCTGGATTCGGGGCGGGTTGGGCCATGTCAGGCGCATCGTCGGCTTCAGACATGGCGCATGGCGGAGAGGTCGAGTGGTGGGAGGCTGGCGACGCACGCGTCAGACCTTGCAGCCACGCGTCAACTAAGTCGTTGGTGAGAAGCAGCGCGATTGTGAGGGTGCGGGATGCGGGATGCGAGGAGCGATATGCGCGGGTCGTGAAGGGCTGCCGTTGCTGACCTGGTCGCAGACGTTGGAGGCACTGGGGGGGTGTGTGTCTAGCCCGCTTTGGCCGCCGTCCACGCAGATCCCTCTCACCACCGAACCCATGGGGCCTGCTCCACCCCACTCCCTCGTCCCGTCTCTCGGCAGTCTGCATGTTGCTGAGTGTGTTTCCAAAGAGAGATACGCGTGGGTGTGTCTGTATGTTTCGCCATCTACCCATCTTTGGCCGAGACTACATTCAAAAGAGGCTTGCTGCCAGCAATCCTGCAGACACCGCTTTCTGCCTGCCTCGTCACCTCTGTACTCACCGACGCACCTCACCACACACGCCGCTTCACAGACTCCGCTCTGGTACAGCTTCATACTGATATGCAATGCCGCTATGGACCATCATGGCGGCCTTCTCCTACCATACTCGTTACCATGTTTCCTCGATCCACAACCATGTCCACAGGAACCGGGTCGTCGCATCCTGGCTACTTTCTCGTCCCACACTACATACTCGTACCCTCTCTTGACTTTCTGAGCCCCTGTCTTTCTCTACAGCTAGTTTTCTTCCTTGGCTAGCTTGAGCCATCTTGTTGCGCGCTGCTTTGTGTATAAGAAGCACTCTGCTCGCCCGCTCCCGAACTAGTTTGTCAGCCTGTTTGTTGGTTAGTGATAGTCGTTTGCCGTTTGCTCTTGCCCCATCCATCTGCCCAAACCCAACGCCCAAATCCAACCCTGCCCCACCTTCCTTCGCAAACCACCTTTACTTACACATACAGCACGCAATGGTGTCTGAGGAGCGCCTCGAGAAGCTGCGCGGGCTGACCAAGTCTGCCGTCGATGCCCTCCCTGACCGCCGCATCTCCCCAGATCGTATGTTTGACGACTCGGACTCCTCTGGTGGTGTGCTCCTCGAGCCTCACTTGCTAGACATGCCTCTCCCCCAACAAGATGTTAAACATCCTCCCACAACCAATCTTCGGCGTGGAGAATTAGCTTCAGCACATGACCATTTCACACCGATCCAAGCATTGGCCAAGTATCCATACACGTACTGCGACAAGAGCCACATGCAACCCATTGCCTCTGCTATTTTTGACCAAGGAAAGTTTTGGAACCGAGTTTGGGATATGTAAGTTTAATTTGACAACTACTACCTATCTTCACACATCCACTGTCAAAACATATGCCATGAACATCGGCCCCTCGCGAATGCCAGCAGGATGCCACCTAACCACCTTCCAACATGTCAACCTTTATCTTTTGTCTTCTTGCAATAGGCAAAAACAATCGGCTGACTCTAACAGTTACTATGTCTGGCCCACCGATTCTTCCAAACCTACCCTCGTGGTCCACGAGAACCAGGTTCAGGCTCTGCTTACCGAGATCAATCATCAGCTTCAACTTGACCTCCGTATTACCAATCACCAACGAGAGGAAGGCCTGGTGATACGCTTCCCTGACCATCCTCGGTGCTTACCAAGATATCTTGGGCGCTCACAGTCACGCCAGGATATCGAAGATATGATCACAATCACACCGAATGAGACATATCGAGCCGTTGGAGAACCCCCTCATCCAATTCTCCAGCCTGCCGAGTTGGAGGCTTTCAACAAGTTGATGGAGGATATTGCAAAAGTGCAGAAACCGAAAGGAAAGGCGAAGGCTAAGAGACAGCAAGACCGTTTAGCCAAGAACAAAACAATGGCGAGCCAGTTCAAGCGCGCGCAGAGGCATCTGGGGCTCCGTGAAGCTGAGCAAATGCACCCATCGGCAGAACCTAGATCATCTCCAGCTGTCGATTCATCTATGCCTGCCCCATTCATGTTCGAACAGTCTGTAGTCTTCGTTTGCGTCGATGTAGAATCGTATGAGGGAGCCCATCACAAGATCACTGAAGTTGGAGTCGCTACACTGGACACACGAGACCTGCAAGGCGTCGCACCAGGCGAAAATGGAAAAGCATGGAGAGAGATGATTCGAGCTCGTCACTTTCGCATCAAAGAGTACAAGCACCTAGTAAACCATCTCTACGTCATAGGACACCCTGATGGCTTCTTGTTTGGCAAATCCACGTTGATCTCGCTCAATGAAGCCGCAAATCATGTCGCGGCCTGTTTCCGAGCACCATTTGGGGGTGTGGACACGCCGACTGAGCAGTCGAATGAGAAACGCAACATCATTCTCCTTGGGCATGATACATTGGGCGATGTCCATTATTTACAGCAACTTGGTTATGATCCGGTAAAAGAGGGAAACATCCTTGAAGTCATGGACACGGCCACCATGTACCGTGTCTGGCACCGCGATCAGCAGCCCACCAAGTTAGGCAACATACTGGGCGATTTCGACATTGTTGGATGGAAACTTCATAATGCTGGCAATGACGCGGTATACACGCTGCAAGCTATGCTGGGAATCTGCGTCCGTGAGGCTACGAGTCGTGGTTCTCTAGACTCCGAGGAGATGCTTGAGATTAACCAAACTGCGGAAAGTCACCGCAGTCCACCAGTGCCGCATGCTGCCGATCTCACAAAGTTAACGCAGTTGGAACAGGCGGCCGTGCCACAATACGATGGCTCGTCTGACATTGGTATCTATAGCGAACAAGAACATGGTCATGTCCGAGGCGTCGTGGATATTTCGCGAAGAGAGGACAATTGCTGTGCTTCCAGCGGAGACTATAGCTCGTCCGAAAGAGAAGTGTACAATGGCTCATGGCACTGTCAGACGAAACACGCAGGGCTGGCTATGGAAGCGACTCATGCTCAGGAGCAAGGGCATTGGCAGGACCTCTTAGATGTGTCCGCGAACATGGCCAGCTCTGAAAACATTCCCAATGTAAGCTTGCAACCACCCCACGGCTCTTGGGACGCATTCCTTTGCATCGGAGAATTACTAATGACTCAGCAGGTGCAATACTATTGGTAAGTAAGGGACATGATGGCAATGTGTCGGCAACGAATCGGAAAGTGCTACCTATGGGCTCATGCGCACAATGTACTTCTCTTTTGGGTTTTCAGGTGCGGCTAGGCATGCAAGTAATCGTGGCCCGCAATTGAGATCAGAGCGCTAGTAATTGCAGCCAGAACACCTTCACGGTTTGTAGCGACATGGCAGCCGTTGACAAGTGACGTTAGCTATGTATGTGCAGCTCTCGACTTGTACGGTTATTAAATCTCGTTAGTGTGAGTGTGTGCCGTTCGAGTGTGCTACTAACCACGTACGTGGTGGTATGCGTTGACGAAGATCTGCCGGATGCGATTTAGCTAAGCGCGCCCGGTCACCGCTTTCTGCCCAAGCAGTTAGCTTCCTATTGCCGGAGTACGGCCGGGCTCATCGTGAGATCAACGGTTCTTCCACCAGTCCATTATTAACCCAGCTCGCCCGCCATTGCAATGGCGGGAAAGTTGCTTTATCGCGTTGCATTTTCGCTCAGGGCTCATCTCCCTTGACTTCCTGGTCTTTGTTTCGCTCTATTTATTCTTAATTTTGTTTTGCTACCTCGCGCAACGCTGCCTGGACCTGTTATGACGACGTGCCGGACATAGCAGCCTCCGAAAAGCCCGTTTCCTTACTGGATCACGAGACACAGTGAGCAACAGCCTTGCCATGCAGGACTCCACGCCACCGAACCGTTCTTCAGAGTTGCGCGGACCTTTTCTAGAAGACAGTGGAGTGGCAAATGACGACCATGTCAATCGCGACGAACAACAATTCAATGCATCAAGACAATCACCGTCTGCGAAGAAGAAGAGCAGCACATGGTGGAAGACGAGCCTGTTCAGCGGCATGATCCAGGATGTTCGTCGACGAGCACCTTTTTACTGGAGCGACTGGAAAGACGCATGGGACTATCGAGTCGTACCCGCGACCGTATACATGTACTTTGCCAACATCCTGCCCGCGCTCGCCTTTTCCCTCGACATGTTTGAAAAGACGAAGCAAAGCTTTGGCGTCAACGAAGTGCTGCTCGCCTCTGTGCTGGGCTCGGTCGTCTTCTCGCTCGCAGCAGCACAGCCGCTCGTCATTGTAGGCGTTACGGGCCCGATTACGGTGTTCAACTACACCGTGTATGACATCATTGTCCCGCGCGGCACAAACTACTTTGCCTTTATGGCGTGGATTGGTATCTGGTCGCTCATCTTTCACTGGATTCTGGCCGTTACCAACTCGTGCAATGCACTGCGCTATGTCACGCGGTTTTCCTGCGACATCTTTGGCTTCTACGTTGCGTTTATTTATCTGCAAAAGGGCATCCAGGTCCTGACGAGGCAGTGGGAAGTCAGCGATGCGTCGGCGTACCTGTCCATTGTGATTGCGCTGCTGGTCACGGCCGTGGCATACTTGTGTGGTGTAATTGGGCAATCATCGCTGCTGCAACGCCATGTAAGGAAGTTCATCGAGGACTACGGTACCCCCTTGACCGTGGTATTCTTCACGGGCTTCGTCCACATTGGCAATATGGCAGGTATCGAGCTGCTCAAGCTGCCTACATCCAAAGCCTTCTTTCCCACGACTGACCGCGGATGGTTTGTTCATCTCTGGGATATCAGTGTCGGCGACGTGTTTCTCGCTATCCCGTTTGCCATTCTGCTCACCATCCTCTTCTGGTTCGACCACAATGTATCCAGCCTAATTGCACAGGGCACGGAATTCCCGCTCCAAAAGCCAGCAGGGTTCCATTGGGATCTGTTTCTCCTCGGTCTGACAACTGGTGTCGCCGGCCTCCTCGGCGTCCCTTTCCCCAATGGCCTCATCCCGCAAGCCCCCTTCCACACGACATCCCTTTGCGTGACACGCACACTCTCCGCCAGTGACCAAAGCGATGACGATGACGAAGCGAACAAAGGCCACAAGCGCACCGTAGTCGACCACGTCGTCGAGCAGCGCGTGTCAAACCTTGCCCAAGGCCTCCTTACACTCGGCACCATGACCGGCCCTTTACTCATCGTCCTGCACCTCATCCCGCAAGCCGTCCTCGCAGGTCTCTTCTTCGTAATGGGCATCCAAGCCCTCGAAGCAAACGGCCTCACCCTCAAACTCCTCTTCCTCGCCCGCGACCGCCATCTCACCCCCAAGTCCGAGCCACTCCTATGCATCCAGCGCCGCTGGGTCATCTGGGCTTTCGTCGGCCTCGAACTCATCGGCTTCGGCGCCACATTCGCAATCACCCAGACCATTGCTGCAATCGGGTTTCCCGTCTTCATCCTCCTGTACATTCCCATGCGCACATGGCTCATGCCACGCTTTCTTACACCAGATGAATTGGCCGTCTTGGATGCACCGACCGCGAGTCCATTTACTATGGAGAGCGTGGGCGGGAATCATGGCCAGGTCGTCGCTGACCCACAGCCTGCGGCTGCGTTGCGGCTTGGTGATGAGGCGGAGAGGGGGCAGAGTATGTCGAGTGGAATTGTGGATGCTGAAGCAGGTAGGCGGAGGAGGAGCCTTCATACCACAAGGGGGGGTGCAGGAGTTGATGATATTGAGAAATCGTAGGCCTATTCGCCTACCTATGTTGGCGTTCTTTTTTTTTTCTTCTTTCTTCCTGGACATTTACAAGGTAAGAATAATATAGATTGAAGTGAGGCGGAAGTTATACATGGAACTGGGAGATTTTTTTTCTGAAAAAAAATAAAATTCTTTGTCTCCGGTTTTTTTTGGGGGGGTGCCCAATTGCTCATAGTCTAGTATGTATTGTTTTCTCAAGAAATACAACTCGCATCCTGAACGAGAGGACTGCCGCCTATTTACTCTTACAAAAGGATTGCCACTCTCGTCTAACAAAGACCAAAGATTATGCGACCAAAATTTCTGGCTGCAGATTCTCTCTAGCAAATCGAGCCCAAGTACTCTACATCTATCCCATGGCATATCATGTAGAAAAGGGGGAAGAGACTTGGTAGTTTCATAATCATGGCCATATCTTTTCGCTACTAATAGTAATACAAGGAACACACCCATTATCTATTAACAGAGCTTACAATGCTCCTTACGAGACGGACCGGGAAAAGGGACGGATATAGAAAAGAGACGAGACGAGGATTTTTTTAAAATAAAAAAAGTCTTCCAAAAGCAAAGACTGTGTGATTTGCATTAAATCTGCCGCCTTTACTTTTTAGCTTTTTTTTGTAGCTATTAATGCAGCTGTGGAATTATATCTAACAAGAACGAAAAAAAAAACAATGGTAAGAAAGACACGAAAGTAACAAGACCGGAAGGGAGAAAATGAGTAGAAAAAAAAATTCTAGTACGCGACAAAAGGGAGAAAAAGACGAGCAGTCGGAGGTGATGCATCGAATGCATCGAGTAGGTAGTACCGTGAGATAAGAAAAAAAAAAGAAGAGAGAAAAAATGCACAAACGACATAACCATCCCCACACTTGTTGAAAAAACGCCTCCTGACCACTTTAGTATGGGACCTTGCGCACTCCCACCTCAACATCACCGTCCTCCGCATCCGCATCGTCAACACCAATGCTATCCAAGAAGCCCGAGAAATCCGGTTTAGCGGGGCCAAGAACGTGCTTGCTTGCGCTGCTCCTTCTCCTGTCTCCACTCCGGCTCCTGCTGGTTCTACTCTTGACGCTTCGCGCTTTGTTCGTCGTGCCGCCGTTTGACGTGGTGCGAGGCCGCGAAGCAAAGTCTCTAGAATGGATCCCACCATTGGCACTTGTCTTGAGGTCTTCTGGGATAGGAGGTACTGGAGGGAGGTTGTCCAGGGTATACGGTTGCTCACGAGCTTGTCCATTTGAATGCGTCGACGTGGCTGTCAGCGGACGAGGTGTCGATGTCGCAGCCGGTGTGGCTGTGGAGTCGGAGTTCTGAAGCTGCTGAGAGTCACCAGCTGGGTGTGTAGTGATGAAGGATGCATCGGAAAGCGAATGTACACTAATAAGCGATTCCGAGGTCGTGGATGCATGATCAGAAGAGGATTTGCGGTGGCGCCGTGATGGAGCGCGAACTGAATAACTTGTCCTAGGCGCCGCACCGCTGGAGGTGGATAGAGCACGCCTGAGGTCGTCGACACGCACGGTTGAGCGCATGGATGAGGAACTGTTGGGTGTAGCGCCAGGACTACGACTTCGGTTTGGTGAGGAGAGACGACCTGCCAGGCCATAAGCGGCAGATGGGGGTCTGCTCTGCGCTCGCCTGGGACTGGGGACAGGGGAGCTCGCATTGCTGTCAAGATTTCCGTGTGGAATGTTAACACCAAGGAAGTTATTCTTGGTGTAGTGAGTCCCGGACTTGGACCCGGAGATGGATGCAGATGTAGAGTCTTTGGTGTGGCTTGCCAGACATTCCTCACGAGACCATTGCGACATGAGATCCTCACGGACTTTGAATGACAACTCAGGGGTATCCCTAGGCGCCATTGGCTGTACTGGTTGGTGGATTGTTGGAATCGAGCCGTTTGCAGCGCCTCCACGGCTGGGCGACCCCGGGGGCGAAGCAGGCGGAGAATGTAGGGAAGTCGAATAACCTTCCGAGATCTTCTCAACAAGTGCTTCTAGATTATCAAAGGGCCTGAGGGCCTCGTTCTGAACAATTTCTGGAGGCACTGCAACCGGTGTTGGGTGCGGCGTTTCAATCAAATCGATGGGCATAGGTGGAACGTTGATGCTCTTCATCCATAGACCCTTCTGGTTTCTACGCGTAATCTCGTTGTGCAATGCGCGACCGACAGAAGATACTTCAAAGTCAAGAGCCGCACTGAGTGCCCAGAGGTAGCCATGCACCAGACTCCCTATGCGCAACTTGGCGCCAGGATCTTCTATAGTTGCAATATCCTCTTGTAGTCGCATGATCATTGGCAACCCACTCCTTGCAGCGTTGACGCCTAACCGGTTGACTAGGGTGGTAAGAAGGAGGTGCAGAAGCAAGTAGTCGGCTTCCGAGTCAATGAATTGATGCGCGTTTTCATACACAGCCAGATGGAGTAGAGGCAGAAAGGTATCCTTGCCACGCTTAGATACCCTCTCCCTCGTAGAGGCATTTGAAACCGCTCGTCTGGATAGTGAATTCTTGTCATTGTCCTTCTCCTTCCGTCTGTAGTTGTCTACAATCTTCAGGTCCTCCTTATCCTTCTCGGTATTCAGCCAAGTGACCAACGCGTCGACATAAGCCTTTCTGACTCGGCCACTTGGGTCGCGCAGCAGCCACTGCGAGCCTTCCCATACACTGACGCCAACCTTGCTTCGCGACACCGAGGCTGGAGAACCATCCGGTTTCCGCGCATTCGCCCTCTTTAAGATGGCCTTGACGGCGTCGAGAGCCGTAATGCGTGCTGTCTCAAATGAGAAAAACCGGTCAACATGAGTCTTCTCTTGCATGCTGATTGAGTCTGCAACAGCCTCCACGGCGCCTTCAGGGTTCTGTATCGCTTCGGCCGTAGTAGAAATGGCCGAGAGGCGCGAGGGCCTGAGGCGGCCTAGGATTGCTTCGATCATGTCTGAGATTTGGTCTGTATAGTACACATGGGTCGCAAGATCTGCCATACATTTCTGTACAGTGTCTAAGAGCTGCAACCTTGCGCCCGACGGTTTCTTTACAACTTCCATGACGACACTGTCCACGTGGTTGGTGGATGAATTCTTGCTTTCATCTTTTTCCGACATGATGGAAGTTGTCTGCTGATGATGTGGCAAGATGCTCGATCCTGGCCCACCGAGTTGTAACAGTAACAGAGTGTGCGAGATAAAGCCTACCAGCACATCCATGACACTAAGGCCGATGAAGTTGATGGGCGAAGCAAGAAGATAGTCAATGACAGTAGCAAGGACCAGTTGTCGCTCGAGATCCTCCTCCACGATGGGGCTGCGGACCAAGGCCTCAACTGCTCCCACAAGAATCGTGTATCGGTCTTGCACAGGCACCCACACACAGATCATGGCCATGAGCGTCGTTGCCCAATGACTGCTTTCGCTTGGCGGGACCTCTAGTTGGCTCTTGACGTGTGTGCTTATGAAGTTGAGGACAGCAGATGTCGCGAGCCGGAGCTGACCGCGATTCACCCCTTGGAAGATGCTCCTTAGCGCCTGTAGCGCGAGCACGCCAACCTCCTCTTCAGCCAGTTTGTCCGCATCTTCGGTTGTTCCAGATGCGGCGATTGGGTCTCCGTCTTCGTCGTCAGTTCGCGCTGTGGATACGCTCTGTCGCCGCCGTGTTGCGGCTTCCTTGTCGTGCTCGCCCTGGGCGGCTTCCCGGATCTCGAGCTGTTTGAGGTATGCGCCCGTCTCTGCGTGTATGTTTGCGAGTATGACCGGTATGATGACGGCCAGCTGGCGCCCCGTCTCCGACCCCAGTGACTCGGACGAGGCCACGGCCTTGAGCGCCTGCAGGCCAACCTTGCGGTGCCTGATAGCGACGGGCCAGCTCACGGCGTCTTTGCCCGTCTTGACAGCATCTTTGGAGGCAAACTGGGCGTATAGCTGGACAATCTCCTCGTACTTCTTGATGTAGTCCTGGTCGGCAGCGAGGGCGGCGGGGTCTTGGTGGGCGCAGAGTGCCTCGAAGGTCGGGACCGACTCCTCGACCATGGCCAGGTTGTTCGAGGTGAGGATAGTGCGCAGGATTTGCAGTACGGAGCCGGCGTAGAGAGGGAGGTCACGCGGACACTTCTCAATCACCGTCCTGACAATCTGCAGCGTAACCTGGACATTGCCAGTGCGGACTTTCCACACATCCTTGGTCGCCTTCTTGTCGAGGAAGTCGACGACCTTCTGGAGCTTGCTGCGGCGTGTGCTTGCATAGTAGAGCAGGTAGCTCAATTCGCTGGAATTGGCCTTGGCGTCGGCATTGTTCTTCAGGACCTTGGGATAGCACTTGAGGACCAGTACCTGGTGCTTTGGGCGGCACGCCTGACGTGCGGCGTTCATTGAGCCTCAGGCGCACGAGGGCGAGGTTGCAGGCTCGAGGCGACGTGTTGGGTGTGCAGCGACAGAGGCCCGGAACACGGCGGCGGTGGCGGTGGTGGTGGTGATGATGATGATGACGCCGGAGGACGGAGGACGGAGAACGGAGGACGGAGGTCGCGGGGAGGGGCGGTTGTTTAGGGAGATTGGGCCTCGCTCGACTGGATGGCGCGCGTAAGGGGAGTGAGGTCTAGGGCGGGAGCATTGTCTGACACAAGACAGGACACGACAGGACGAGGCTCGTAGGGGGTCAGCGGTGGGCATCCATCTGAAGCACTGCACACGGCCGCAAAGGGAGACGAAGGCGTCGGGGACTTAGTTGGGTGCGAGTAGTCCAGGGCAGGGCCTGGCCTGGGTTGTCGCTCGGGATGCGCCCCGGCCGTTTCTGTTTCCCTGGCAGAGCTCCCTAGTCAGCCCTAACCACTCCGCCAAGCACACCTGGCATTGCTGAAACCCTTTCTGGTTGTACACGTATCTCTATCTATCAATTGAGCCACCACGTCGCCAGCCGTGTTGATACAATACAATACAATACACTGCACTGCACGCCTAACCCCGCCCCCCTTCACCGCCTGCTGCCTCGTCCTAGCCATCGATGCTTGGGCTCCGGCGGCGGCGTCTTCGCGTACCTGTACCTGGGCCTGAATTCATCCCCATCCTCATCCTCATCCTCCTGCTTGTCCTCCTTCTCCACTCCCCCCTTGTCCTCTGCTCCTTGTTTCTCGTCTACATCGGGCTGCAGGAATCTATACGTCTCCGCGTCCTTGGCCAGGTGCTTCTTTTCCTCAGCCCCATATGTGACATCTCCACCCTTGCCATATTTCGCCTTTGCCTTTGATCTCGGCAGGCCCGTGTTGGGCGAGTAATTCTGGTTTCCACTCCCGGCCAATTGAAGCCGCATTTGCTGTGGCAGCATCTCCTGCTGTCCCTTCTTGATGGATGTTACCACACCTTTCTGAACCTTTTCAAATCGCCTATTCAGGTCTTGGGTGGTGGATACAGTCGTTGGTTTGGCCATGACCCACTGGCACACCCGCCCGTCGCTGACTGGGTTGATGAGAAATGTCGTTCCTTCTGGCATCCCTTTGAGGATAAAATCCGGTCGCAAGTGCGGGAAGCGGGCATGCATCCACGGCCAGACGGTCGGGTCGCCGGGCATGAGCCTTTCTGCTTTGGCCACACTGCCCTGTAATCGGATACGAAACTCGACAGGCGAGCCCGACTCGATGAATTGGTAAGCCCGGTCCATTGACAGCCGGTAATGCGAGAGTGGACTCGACTCGTTGAAAATAATATTCTTCAGTCCTCCGAGTTGTCGTCCTTTCTGGGGACTGTTCAATGGAATCCGGTGCGACTTTGCCTCCACAAACGAGAATCTATTGTATTCATCCAACACATGTTCATTGCCCTCGGCCTTGAACATCTTTGCCATTCCCTTTTTCAACTGCTTCAAGCAGTAAATCATATGCCCTGGCTTGACATAATTATCATATGCCTCTTGCAATGACACATCCTTCGCTATCAGTTCATACTTGGAATGGTGCCTATCCGTTTCAAAGAGGTTGATGCGGTGCGACGATGCACTTGGAGGCTCTACCTGATACGGCGAGAACGTCAAGGATTTGTGCTGGCCCAACAGTGTCTTGGATTTGGCTGTCTTGTAGAGGTTCATGCCCCGACGCTGCATTAGGCATTGCAGAGGAGCGCGATTGGGAGCCGGCCGTGAGCATTGTGGGCGATATAACGCTCCGAGAGCGCGAACCGGAATGCGAATTGGTGGTAGTAGGATCGAGCGAAACTCGACGAGCGACGTGCGCGTTGCTGGACGCATCGTGTTTGCAACTGAAGGCTGTGCAGCCCAATTGCGCGAAAATCGCATTTCATGACTCGTGTTTCGCTCAGGTCACGTGACCTATGGTGTCGTGACACCAATAATTACTATGTACATACACTACAATACTGCTACTATAATTTCAAGCTATAGACAACATGTATGAACATGCATAATAGCACCAGAGCTTGCAAAGAAAATAAATGTACAATTCTCCATCAAGTGAACATAAACCTTGGACATGCAGTACCAAGCTCGCTGCTCTTCCGATACTGCATGTCTTGCAGTGGAGAGAAGACATCATCCCAATCAATGCCCAGACTAAAAGTGTCATACGGCTGGTCGTTATAGACCGTTTGCGTGAAATCCACTATAGGCTCAGGTATGTACTGCGCAGTGTCTTGGAACGTCATCGGGACGAGAATATGGCCTTGGGAACCAAGTACCGGCGCTACTGGTATTGAATCACTCTGGAGTGGTGGTGGACTGGGCGCAGATGCGGGTGTGGCCTGGTAAGAACTACCTATAGAGCTAGCACTAGCACGCCGATCGGTGTTGAAGTCAGAAGTGTGATGTGGATGAGACTGGTTGAGGAGACCCTGCTCGCAACGATGGATAATCTCAGCGACACGCTGTAGAAGTTGCTGCTCGACTAGACTGGGCATCTGTTCAGCTTCCGAGTGCAACTCTTCTTGCACGCGACGGAGCAGGTCTCTGCGAAATCTCCGTGAGTCTTCACTTGGCGAGTCGCAGTCATAAACTAGCTCCTTGTCAGTAAGTTGGACAGAAATTTGAAGAAAGGAAATGACATACATGGGCTGGGAATGTCCACAGTCGGAACACCCGGAAAAAGGATGTGATAAACATCTCTCCATTTATCCTCTTCTAGTCTCAGTCCAGTAGTGCGCTTTCTCAGCGTCCATATTGTTTCCCTATCAATGCCGTCAATTTGTTGGGTAGACGATCTCTCGCATTGCTGCAAGCGCACATGATTCAGTTGCTCCTTGTCTGATTTGAATTTTGCGTAGCAAATTGGACAAAAGATTGGCTGAGCATGTGACCGGTATAAATGCTCCTTCATCCTATGGACAGTTGTCCAACCAGGGCCGGGGCAAGTACGCCGATTGCGGTATCGATTCGGATCATGCTTATAGAACGGACATGCGAACCGTGCGCCCATGTCTGATCCATCAAAGGTCGTTATCGACCCCCGCCGCCTCTTATTTGGCCTGTCCTCGTCATCATCTTCTGGCGGCGGACTGCCGTCCTGGCGTGTCTTTCTCTTTGGCCCGGAGCTCGACGATGTTTTGCGGCTGTGTCCTGTGGAAGCAGAGATTCCAGACTGTGAGCTTGGGGTGTTGTTTCCCGCACACTGCTTGTAAGCTGCATACCGCAGACTAATCTCAACCTTCCTGATGATCAAGTCGATGACCTTCAGAGTAGACCTGGGTTTTTGAGAGATGGATTGTCGGTTTCTATACTCATCTTCATCTTCACTAACATCCGTACTTGTGTACATGTCGCAGCTGCTCGTTGAAGATATTGAAACGATAGACAGCGCCCTCTGCTCCGGTCGATTGCGTGACGGGAGATTGTCGTTCACCCATCTCTCTATATCTTCATCTTGAGAAGTCGTTTGGGTTTGTAGAATCTCCGCAGGTCCGTGGCCAGCGACATTCTCCAATGGAGGGGAGCAGGGAAAGCTTCGCGGGATTCCGCGGTCCGAAACAGATGTTGCGGGGTGACTTGAGATTCCCCGGTCCGAACTAGCTCTTGCATCATCACTTAAGATGGCTCCTAGTCCAGAGGGCTTCAAGGTATCGAAACTGAAGATTGACTGAAGGGTTGCAGGTTTAGAGTTGAGTAAGATACTTGGCACGCGTGGAAATGACGCGAGAAATAAGTCTGCTGCGCTGTTAGTGACCAGGACTCTTGAAGATGTATAGACAAGGTGTAAGTACGTACCCTGCTCTAACACGGCTACTTCCAAGGGCGAGAGCGGATCCGGATCGCTGTTATAGCCAGAGTCTCGGGTTCTCGAAGACGAAAGCGAGTCTCTTCTTTGGACATGCTTACTCATACTCAGCTTGGGCAAGCTGGTGTGCGAGTTTGTGCACGACGGCATGGTCTCCATTGCGCAAAGATGGCGGTAGCGTTGGACGAGACTGCTCTGAGTCGCAAACTTGGACAACCAGCATATATGAGAGGCGTCGACTTGGTCAAGGAATTCATGACGGAATTGGCAATTGCCTAGACGGCTCTCATAAGCGTTTGGACCCCATTGCGCGAATGCGCAAACGTGGGATCAGCGTAGCAGACGCCTCCCGTCGACCCGTCATCAGCCGAACGCCAGGCGTGCACACCAATCAATCACGCAGTATGGCTTCTGCCTCGGCTGCATGGACAGCGCAGAATGAGCAAGGAGGCGTTGGGTGGCTGTGTAGCATTGATGAGCAAGGTGCTTGTGATACTGGTGGATGACACCTGCAGCCCATACGAAGCAGGAATGGCGCTACTACTAGTAGCAAAAGAAACAGCCTGGGGGCTAGAACGTGGCAAGGCAACCATTTGGGCTCACCTTGTTCATCCAGCTTTACACCGGAATACATCACACCACCTGGACAAGTGCCGCTCTTCCATGTCATTGTAGTTGGTCATATTCATGCTCGTTAACAGCAGTGGGGCCGTCGGGAAAAGAAGATGGACAGTACATGTGTAAAAGCAAGATTGCATGATGTTCAGTCCCTCACAACGCCATTGTCATTACTACCCAAGCCTAGTCCCAAATCACATGCTCTCAATATCCCATAGCCAAACTGTCCATCAGAGAATAGACACGAACACCTCTACCACCCTGTAAGGGCATTCGAGATATCATCATCACTACCACCACCACCACCATCATCACTGCGTCTTCTACTGCTTCTTAAACAACGGCTTCCGATAATTGTCAAGCCCAGAAGTACTGTAAAACCCAACATGAGGCGACGGGTAATCATTCTTCATGAGCCTTTTGTCCTTGGGTCGAATAGATACTCCCATGCGTACAGCAGTCTCGTACAGCCTGCCGTGTACACAAGCACCATGTAACTCCATTACTTCCATCTTCTCAAGCGTCTTGCTGTAGATGAACTTCAGACGCATGACTTCTTCCCTTTGCTTGCAGTACTTGAAGCCGTAGTCGCGCTGCAGGCAACCTGGTGGATTCGTGCTATCGGCATCATGGATGAACTGCTTCAGACGCCATACCGTGGGGCGCTGTTCGGGCAGCGTGGCGAGGAAAGTTTCTAAGTGAGTAGAAAGTTCGCGGAAGTTTCTAAATCCCTTTGTATCGAATAGAGTCACTAGATCGTTCCTTTCTAGGGCGTTTTGGAGCTCGTGGAAGCTTTCTGGGCTGTCTGCTTCCTGGATGAGGACGGCGTAGAGGCCTGCGAGGCGTCGCTCGTCTTCTTCGTTCGTAGTGCAGACGAAGCCAAAGGAGTACCAGGCACTCTCGTGTTTTGCAGGTAGTTGGCCGCGTGAAGCGGTTTCAATGAGGTAGGCGACTTCCTGCTTAGTCCTAGTACTAGGGACCGGCTTGCGCACTAGCGGCACAGCATCTTTCACCAGGCGAGGCGACGACGGGGTTCGGTCGCTGTTTTGTTGTGCTTGTATAACCTGGTCAGGCTTGCGTGATTGCTGTTGACTGTGGCCTGCAGACGACAATGATCTGTTGCGGACAGCAACGTTCTCAATGGCCTGTGACCTGCTGGCAACCGAAACAAGAGTACTATACGCTTCTCTGGGAAAGCTTAGTTTGCAAATGAGCACGAATAGCTCATTTGCAAACGAGGCATTCCCGATTAGATTGTTTAACCGCTCTTGAAGTTCAGTCTCCATCGTTATGCTAAATGCCAGCATAATCAGTTTATTCGTGTCTTTCATCAACTCGGTGTACGCCTGGACATCATGGAAGATCTGGATGATCTGTTTGCCGAGTGTGTGATCGAGCTCGCAATGACCATCGTCAACACTAAAGCCGAACATCTGAGTGACCAAGTCTGCAAAGATGCTTTGATGAAGTTTGAAGCTGCGGTGAAGACGTTGGATAACAGCGTTCATCTCATCATATGAAAAGACTAGAAGCGTATCCCACAGGCTATCTGTTAAGTTTTGAAGTGTGGAGCCTATCCGTGTTAGTAATAAGGCAAGCGGGTAGGGAGCAGAACGGTTGTACGTACCTATAGGGTGAGTTACAATTACTGCTAGTGTCTTCTTTATTTCTTTGAGCTCTTTTTCTTTCCCGATGTGTGTTTGTGTCTTTCGCAGAAGATACAGGTCTCTAAGGCTATCTAGGATAGCCGAGACTTCAATGGAATTCATCGAATCGAATCGTCTGCGAGGCTTTTAATCTTTACTGTATTATAGTCGTCTTGTTTGAATTAATGTTGTGCTATAATTCTGTCCCCAATAGTTGTCTAGCCGGGTCGTATACCCCTCCGGTCTGTCCTGTCGATCAAGTTGTAGCGATCAGGTGAGGTGAAGTAGTTGCTAGCAACTGCTCGTACAGGAGCCAAATCCGAAACCAATATAGCCGCTCCAAGTCCTATAATATTAGTCAGTAGATGCTAGATTAGCCCAAGCTCATCTTATAATAATACTAACCGTCTGAATCGTAATCCCAGTCACCACCAAATAGACTCTTGTCAAAATCAAGCCGTGCCCACGTTTGGAAGATGTCGCGGTCAGGCAAGAAAGAGAGAGGAGCTTCGCTCTGATTGGAGTCTTGTACTCGTTCTACGGAGGAAGGAAAGAGAAATGACTCCCATTGTACCGTGATATAGCACATAGATTGTAGTGCTAGCGGTGAGTGTGGGCTAGCGCTGTTGCCTTTACCTTTGTTTGCAACAGCCTGCACTATCACTCGGTAATAGAGGGAGGGAGAGCACGTGAGATGACGTAGTACGCTGGGAATCGCCCTCCTGTAAACGGGGCGAGAGAGATAGCAAACAACCAGTCGTCAAGTTCGGTCAAGCCCAGAACGAAGATTTTCAATGAAAGAAAGCGGCAGTGAGTGTGGTAGTAGGAGGTAGAGAATAGTGAAATTACTTGAAGTTATAAGGCTTGAAAAAGCTGTTGTGGAGGACAAGTCCTGCTTCGATCAAGTAATATAGAGGACAAAAGTGAGGATTAACTATCAAGAATGGATAGAGGTCGAACGCAGCTTTGATATTACATGTTTAGAGACACGATCTACGAAGCCCTTCTATGCATCTAATGTCTGCGTTATAAATACTTACCGACTTAGGCTTGACGCTTGTTCAAGTTCCTTCGCCGTTAACCGCGAAAGCTGTGAATGAAAATCAGATTATACCGCAAGATGGAGTAAGATAAATAACAGCACGAGGCTAGAAATTGTGACATGATACTTGTAGATGAGACAGAATTTTTGTTTTCTCTTTTTAACATTGTCTCTAGACGTGCTAACACAAGACTCGCAAAACGCTCGATCACAATATAATCACTACCAGGGAAACATGGTGTGCAGTCAACCGTGTATATTTTACTCTTTGTACTGCATATTTTCTTACACACACACACACACACACACACACATCCAAATGACATTACATCACGGATACATTTCCTACGTATTTCTCATCCACCAAACCCAAATACCTCCGCTGTACTCAACATGCTCATCCTGGTACCCCAAAGCGCAATGGCAATGCTGATGAGATCCACAACAAGCAGCACGGCAGCGCCAACCATGAATCTTGGGTTGAAGATACGGTACAACATCAAGTGTCTCCTAAGGTGGCCGGCCCACATGGTCGTTGCCAGATTGATTGTAGCATAGAAGAGAATATGGGTAGCCACAGCCTTTGCCACGACACTGAGTAGGCCCTTCTTCTGTGGCTTCACCTTCCACAAAACAAGGGCGGGGACAGCGACTGCGCACAGGATCTGGGCGCCAAATGTGTTAAGAATGACAAGAATAGGTGTCCATGGGTAGCGAATCTTAGCAAGTGGGATAAAGGCCGATTCCCACTGGATGCTTGAGAGCGTGGCTTGATGGCCTGTTTTGAAGAAATGGAAAGATCCAAGGAGGCCTAGGACAACGGGACCGATCGGGGACTGGCGCAAGTTGTTCGTATCCATGATCTCGAAAAGGGAGAAGAGCTGCCAGACTAAGATGCCCATGGCACCAGCTCCCATTGGCTTCTGGAGGAGGGCAATGGCAAGATACCATATGGTAATGAGAAGGGCATAGCGCGAGCCCTCAACATTTGCGAACCCGAGAACAGTGACCGCCTCTTTCGGTGCACCATTTGCATCCTTGCCGTCTTTATCGATGATGACATTCAGAAGAGGCTTTGACCAGTTGTAAATCGAGTATCCAAATGCCATGCTGATTGCCAGTACAATTTGTGCCAGGAAGCGCTTCGTGATACGGATGACGTTCACCCAGTCGGGTAGCCACTCGCCATCGTCCGCAGCATCTAGAGCCCAATAAGCTGCCGAAAGCATCAGCCCAAAGCGCAATGCCAGTCCTATCCAAAGAGTTGCGTTGTGCTGGTAGCTCTTTGTGCCCTCGTAGTAGCTTTTGATGAATGTAGGAATGAGAATAGCGACTGTAGCAGGGATGAGAAGCTGCCATGGTGCAGAGGTAGTGGATAACGCAGAAGCATAGTACGTGGACTTGCAATAAGGCATTTGCTCTTCTCTGCAAAGTCTTGAGAAACTGGCGACTCTTAGCAGGGCGGTGAAGAGAATAGAATGATAGGCGCCCAATGTTCGGTCTGCAAGGCGCCTCTGACGAAGTGAGGAGATGAGTGCAAGAACGCCAAACGTCGTCAAGAAGTGAAGTAAAATTTCGTCTTCCCAGATTGTGAATGAGTTGGCTGCAAAACCGGCAGAAAGTGCAAAGGTGAATACAACACTTGCCCAACCCCAGATGGTGTTGGGCATAAGAGGCATCATGCGGTAGCTAAGGACGTAGAATGTGGACGCGCAGCCAATGATTCCAGAGAGTGCAGAAGAGAGGACAACCACATGAGATCTTGCATCCTCAGGCATGAAGACGGTAATACCAACACCAACAATACCCCCCAAGGCCAGGCCAATGGCACCTCGAGTGAAGAAGACGGGTGTAACCTCAGTGCGGTCTCCATGGAGAATCCTAGCGTAGAGCGCGAGAACGATTAGACTAGACGCTAGGACTGTGACACCACTTATCATTCTTGGAATGTCGAACCTGGCCCAAAGGGCGCGACAAAGACCGAGGGTATCGTGTTGGTAAGCAGAAAAGGCGTCGTAGACTTGGCGCATTTGTACACTATTCGCCTTGGACTTTCCGAGTGAGTTCCATGCGTCATTTGCACTCGTCCACAGGGAGAGCGAGGTGGCTCTGGTACTATCGGGAATACCTCGCGCCTGTGCGTATTCATGCTGGTATTTATGGATCTGTGCAGCAGTCATGCGGTTGACAGCTGCGAGGTTCGCGAAGTTGTCTCCTTTCTTTCCAATGAAAGCTTCCTCGATCGGCTTGCCAAGGTTGTTGAATGGTATTGGCATACCTAGCAAGAGCGAAAGAGTTGGAACAAGGTCAATCTGGCCGACCGGCCGGATATGAGCGTTGCGTGGAGGAGTGACGTAGGAAGGGTCGCTGCGTCCAAAGATGCCCTTTTTGGAGTACATCCACAGAGCAGCCTGGATCTCATCATCCGACTCTCCTCCGTGATCTCCCTTTGCATCCATGCCATGGTCACCCATGACTACCAAAAGTGTATCATCGTCAATCTCATTGATCATGCGACGAAAGACAGTGTCCATTTCATTCAGCTTCGCAGTCATAGCGGGGTGATCGGGACCGTAACGATGCCCAGCATGGTCTACGCCCAGGTAGTGGCCGAAAATGACATCCCACTTGCTTGCATTCTCAGCCTTTAGCAGCGGGAAGATGTGCTCGGTGACGCCATTGTCTACCGTATGCAGATCCCAGACATTGAACGAATCGTACGCGTGCGTGAGATTTGGCTCAAAGTAGTCGGCGAAAAGTGCGTGCCACGTGTCGTCTCCAAGATGGACCAACCTCTTGCTTGCGTTCTTCAGCTGGCCAACAATGTTGTCTTCGTGAATTGCTTGGCCCGCAAAGTTGCTTCCCACATCGATAAAAGTCGGTAATGTGCCCGTTGTTAGCCCCTTTAATCTCTGCATCGTGGCCGTTGGCGGATCCGCGATGAAGGGAAGGAGAAAGGCATTCTCAGGCTGATTCATAGCCGTCTCGTACAGGACAGGAAACGCATTATGGAAGTGGCGTGGGGCAACTGGCAGTGCCTCAGAGGGGTTCGCAGCAGCGGCAGCCAGGTTGGTAGGTTCGAATTGAGCCTCGAATGGCACGGTAAAATCATATCTGAGCGCATCGACAATGATGACAACTGCCTTGTCAAATGTCTTGGGGTGCCAGCATCCCTTCTCTGGATTGCCCGCAGTATAGGAGTTTGCCGTGTCGATAGGAGGCAAAGCACATTCCGACTTGTGGTCGAGAACCAATCGCGTAAGGAGGAAACCGCTCGTGAATAGGTATATACCGAAAACGTGAAGTACACTAGCGCGCGTCAGATAGATTCGCAAGACGCGCTCTCTCCAAGCCTCAGTGGAGCTGAACCGAACTGCACTTACAGCATGAAACAAAAGAAAGCCACGAGGATACCGTGCGAGGCCTTGAAGTGTACCTGGCTAAGCTTTTTCACCTTGTCTGGATCATGCACCATAGTCCGCGGCGGCTGTGCAGCTTGTTGCTGCTGCTGCTGCTGCTTTTGCGGTGCATGCTGTTGACCTTTTGGAGTGCTTTTCTGACCGGTGATCTCGGACAGCGGAGTAAACACCTCGCGGTTCGCCATGGCGACGGAAGAGAGGAAGCCAATCAGCGAATACTAAATGCCAATCGGAATTTGAAGGGAGTTGAGATGGCTCAATGGGCCTCAAGGAGCGACAGAATCCATGAGAAGAAAGTTGTTGCGGAGTTTATGCGAGTGAGGGTCTGTTGCGGAGATGCTAGTAGAGTGGATCGTCGTAATGCCAAGGCCGCACCAATAATACGCACCTGCCATCGAGGTGCACGACCAACAGGGCTGGCCGAGGACCTGATACACTTTGACTTGCTTTTCAGATAATTTGTTGAAGAATGACTATCGAAGACGACACGAAACACGACAATGGCAAACAGCCAGCACTGACGTAAATTGAGGGTCATTGGTTGATTGCCCAGGTGCTGCTTTGTCAAGTCTCTGGGACATCACAGGACAGCAGCAGATGTTTTCTTTTTTTTTTATCGATAATGGCTTGTATTGGCTCTCATGCTGCTCGATGCAGTCGCTCGAGAGGAGTTAAGATAGCATACATTAATGAATAAGAGTTATATAAGAGGTGCAGAACCTCGATGAAGAGATGGCCGAATCATGCAGGGGTATACAACTAATTGGCCAGTCAACTCCGAGAATATACATGTGTAGTGCCACCGCCATGCTGATTGCGCTTCAGGATGGGTTGAGAGAAGCTGGCATTCAGCGCGGTTTAGCCGTCATCAAAGTCAAGTCGGTCATAGCCAAGTGGCTCGAGGGCCCGGGCTGCCAGACCTGTTCGAGGGCGATGGCCTGGTCGGGTGATTATCGTTTAGGGTTGGAGTCAAGATTATGAGTAGTACTTGTCGTCCTTCTCCTTCAGACCGCCCATACGATCCAAGTCGAGGGAATCGAAGCGGTCTGATGAGTCCTGCTGGTAGGCCGGGAGGTCCTCGCGCAGAGGCTCGAGGCCAACGCTGTGGTCTCCAACACGAACGACAACGACACGGCCAGAGTGCTGCTTGCCCGACTCGTCAACCTCATCGGGGAAGGTGATGCGGATCTCGGGCACTGGGCTGGTGGGGCTATCCATGAGGGTTTGCTTTTCTGAGTAGGTGATGACGGACTCGCGGCCTTTGTATGGCATGGCGGTGATGGTCAAGTGGTTGATGTTTGATTGACGCTTCTCGTATACGGGGAGTTCTGGGGTGGCTTGTTCCATTTTCCTTGCGCGACGGAGGCTCCGTAGGAAGAGCAGGCCTGTGATGCTTGCTACGCCGAGCAGGGCCAACATGACGAGGGTGATGAGAAGCGTCAGATGGGTGTCGTTGAGGGTGTCGTCCTCGTCGCGCTTGAATAGGTTCATGTTCATCATTGTGATTTGATTTTGTTTAGTTTTGGTTTTGGGTTTAGATTGTGTGGTCGTCAAGGCGTATCGATGGGGTGCAAAGTGCTCAGTGTGCGATGGCTGCGATCAAGGAATGCAGTCGCTGCGAGGGGGTTAGCATCCATGGCTTGAGGGGAGGTGGTAGTGTTGCTGGCGCCGTCGTGATGTCGTCGCTGTCTGGCTGGAGATGCTTGGCGAGACGCTGACGGATGACGAGCGGACAGTTTCGGATACGCACCTAAGAGAGCACCGGCGTTTCGCAGGTGAGTAGATAGGGAACGAGAGACACAAGTAGGAAAGAGCGTAAGTGCGAATACCGCTGAAAGAGTGAAGCGATGATTCGGCGTAGGGGAAAAAAATGATTGAACAATGGGCAGGACCGTAGGAAAAGGTGGGCAAAGAGGATCAAGGCAAGAGGGAGGCGACGTTATTTTGACGGCGCAGGGCAAGAAGCGCCTCGCAGTTTGCCAATGCAGGTACACAGAACGTCGACCGCTAGGCAGCCAATCACCCGCCCGCGCTAGAACGCGTCCCCCTACCGGACAGACCAAAAAGGCGAAGGAGCCGCGCGCTAGGCCCAGAAGAAGCATCGCAATAAAGACGTCTGCACCATGTCCATCCTCTCTGGCTCTTAATTTGGCACCATTATCAGAGCCAGTCGTTCGTCCCGCCGTGGCCACCAACAAAAAAAAAAGGGGAGCATGGCGTTTGGCTGCGCGCCTAACGACGTGGCACGCTTTGGGCGGCATGCACCGAAGCCAGGCGTGGGCCAGGACAGGATACGATGGCCAGAAGGGCAGCGCAAGCAGGCAAGCAGGCCAGATGGGAAAGAGAGGGAGAGCGAGCATCAAACAGCAATAACAAACGAATCGCGTTATGGCCGGGAACATCTGGGCAGTGCAAGGAGCGGTAATGCGCACAACGGGGGTGCGAGCGGTTAGGCGAGAGGTCGAGACTCTGCACGGTGGATCGCGAGTGGATCGCGAGGCCAGCACGTCCACGCTGTGCTGTTCGGTTGAGGAGAGGTCCCCAGACTATGTACCTTGGGACTGGCAGGCTGCATGTTGGGTTAAGCTCATTGGGACCGAGACGTTATGCGTTTGAGTGGGCAAATGACAAGAGCAACAGATGCAACGGCGCCGAGAGGCGGGACGCATTGCATTGTCATTGTTGCTTGAGACGAACGTCTTGCGCGGGCTGTGGAGCGATACAGCCTCATCCATGACGATAACACGCGGCATGGCAACGCGCGTATGTATGGAGCGAACAGCTTGACAAACGTCACAGCCGATGGGGCGCAGGGAGCGCCATGTGGTGATGGGACTAGAGCGACTTCATGGGCGTCTCCCCCTGGGCTCAACAAGTCGGGGCTGCTATAGCTGCCTATAGGCCTTGCTAGGTGTATGCCTTGTCCTGTCTAAGTAGTTGATATTTTTCTTGTCGTGCCCAGGGCCGGCCTTTGCTCCGCACTCGAGGTAAGTAAGTAACTAGGTGTTATACTAGCGGGCTGGGTTTATCTGCAGCACGCGAGCATGGCCGGATTCCCCGGCATGGGTTGCAGCCGGGACCGCGAGTAAACATTGCATGGGCGAGTGCTTTGTTTGATGAGTCTTGGGGAAGCTTGATGCTTTTGCCCCCTTCTCGACGCCAAGTGCGTGCCTTTTTGGAGATGCGACGCTTGCAGCTTGAGCTCCTGAGGCCGTCGCATCTTGGGGGACGAAAAGCAGAGGCAGCACTTGGCTGGCAAGGCCGTAAATAGTGCTGACAATGTGCGCAACCCTGTTGGCGTAGACACGATACGAAAAGAGACTTTGCAAGGGCGCAGGGAAACCTAGTTGTGTGCTGTGAAGGCGGCAGTTTGATCGAGCTAGGAGAGGACAAAAAGTCGCGCATCCAAGTCGCCAGAATGGCATTCGCCGGCCCGCGTTAGTACTTGGGTAGGGTAGGGAAGCAAGCAAGTAGCAAGTAGTGGTGACGCTCGGCCGGGGGCTGACTGTGCCACACTGGCCGTGAGCAGTAAGGCACATAGATGGCCGCAGCAGCAGCAGTAGTAGTGGTAATGGACAGCAAGCGGTGAGTGTGTAGGCATGGGGTGTGGGTGCGAGGCTTCTTTGAGACAAAGGGAAAAGGAAGTGCAGAGTGCAGGAGGGGCGGGGTGAGCGTCGTGTTTGTCACGTCGTCGGGCGGGTGTGCTGGAGGCATTGCCAGAGTGCCAGCACAGCACAACGGCTCGCACAAGGTGGAGAGGCCGCTGGGCTCAGTGGACGCCTTGGATGCAGCGTGCAGCCCTGCAGCGCAAACCCGCAGCTATGAGGCGTTATATTGCAGGGAGCCTCGTCAGCGGAGGGCAATCCGTGGACGGGGCAGGTCACGAGGCGGCAAAGACGGTGGGCTGGCCAGAGGGCAGGCAGCGAGTGCGACGGTGGCTTGGACTGCGACGGTTGCGCTTGCAAGCGTGTGTGCCAGGAGGGGGCGGATGGGCGGTGCGGGATGCAGCAGCGCTGTGGTGTGTACAAGTATGTTCGTGTGGGAGGGTGCTGTGGTGCGTGTCTGCGACTGCGAAGGACGACGGCGACGACGGCACGGGCAAGCAGATGATGCTATGCGCTCGTAGACAGGAGCGCAGGCACATGACAGGGCGGTGGTGAAACACGCTCGGGCGGGACATGATGCTCCACGACTCCTGTCCATGCGAGGAGAGTGTCTCAGGCTGCCAGACGGGGAGCGCGCAACACACAGGATCGGCCGGATTGCGCTGCCGCTTCGTCCCTGGCCCGGGCTTGGCACACACGAGCGCATTGCAGACCCAGACTGACAGGCACGACGCCTGCGCCCGCCGCTACCGTGTTCTTCTAAGACGACGACGAAGCCGCCGCCCACCCCCAGCGCCGTCTCTTCAAAGCCTTGCCTGCGTGCGTGTCTGCCACCGCCTCCACCACCACCTCCACCACCACCGCCGCCCTCTCTGCCCTCCCTCGGCCTGCAGTCCAATCGACTGGCTCCAATCCTGCCTGGCCCTCTCCGAGCCTACCCCAGCCGACGCCAAACTTAGCTGCCGATCCCCGTCGTCGCCAGGGCCCAGCAGGTCGCATCTTCAGCAAAAAGACGTCTTCACCCACCCCCTCCACTCGTCCTCTGCCTCTGCCCCCCTCCCCGACGCCCACGTCTGTGCTACGACCAAACTCCCTCCCTCCGCGAACCGCACACAATCCCACACAACCGGCCCTGCCCGCCCCGCTGCACATATAAGACCCAGCACTGCCTGTCCTGCCCGCCCTTGCATCCCCGCTACACTGGTTGTCGACCCTGATGCGTTCCCCGCCTGGCGCGCAACATCATTGCTTAGAATCGCCCATCTCCTCTGGCTAGAAAGAAGCGACCAACACCACCTCCACCATTACCATTCGCCCGCCCTGCAACCACCACCCACACTTTGCTTCCCCACGACCCACGGACGGCACCCCGGCTTACCCAACTGCTACGCCCATATCACCACGTATTTTTGGTCTTCTTTTTTCTTCCTGTCACTACTACTACTGCTCTCCTCTTCTTCGTCTTTACTGCGGCCACGACCTTGTACACACCTTCTTCACATACTTCTCATTGTGCCCTCCGCTGTGCGAGTCATAATACAAGCGTCGGTGCGCCCAAACTCTCAGCAACTGCCCTGCCTGTGCTGACGCCTGAGCCTTAGTTCGACCCTGACCCGTCCACACACACACCCACCAACCACTCTGCGCAGCCTCCACAACCCACTGCCCTAATAAACCCCGCCGCCCGCCGCCCGCTGCCCGCTGCCCGCACATACACACCTCCTCACCTCGCCCCGCCAGTGTACATGAACTCCACGTCCAACGACCTTAGTCGTAATATGGCCGCCATGACAGGCAATGTGCGTAGCTCCTTCCCCGCCACTCCGACCGTCCACACTCACTAACCCAATCCCCCAGACCCGATCGCGCGACTTTGGCAATGCCCTCTCGCTCAACGGCACAGACGCCGACCGCACATCACACTCGTCGCCATGGGGCAACAGCATCTGGAATGCCCCGATTGGCTCCTTCCCCTTCGGCTCCGCGGCCAGAGACACCTCGCGCCCTCTAGGTATGCCGCCTTGGACAGGCCATTGTGCAAACGCCCTTGACACCACTGACACGTATGCAGATAATGCTACCATGGCCGACGGCAAGACAGGCTCAGGCTCTCTCGTGGCCAACTCGGACACCGAGTGGAGGCCAAGCGCTAGGCAAGCCTGGAGCGAGAAGCCAGCCGGAGGCATGTCACAAGCCAGAAGCTCCGCTGTCTCGCCGGCAGGGAGGCGGCCAATTGCGCAGGCGCAGCCAGGCCAGCCTTATGCTGATAATGCCTCATCTGGTCTATTTGGTCCATCTCGAGGCTCCTTCTCCAAGACCATCAAGCCCTTTTCAGACACTGCAAATGCAAACTTCGCCTCTCGCCCAATCGACGGCCTTAATGCTAGCTTCTCAAACTTTGGCTTTGCTCAGCCAGACACAAACGCCCACCGCCCCGACACTGGCGTCACATCATGGCCGGACACTGCCTCAGTCCACTCCCCCAACGACGACCGCCGCAGCGTAGCTAATTCCGACCATGTCACATCTTCGAGCGGAGCTCCTTCGCGAAGCGGAAGCCTGCCACCCTCGCGACATGGCGCCGAACCGAGCCAGTTCAACCAAACCATGGATGCTTTCTCGAGGCTCTCGCAAGCTCCGCGCCACGGCTCATCCTTTTCTCTTGCCAACGGTCGCGCCTTCCAAGAACGAAGTGGCTCAATGCAGAGCGACTCGTTCCAAGCACTTGGCAGAATCAACTACGAACAAGAATCAGAGTCGCGCATGGCTTCACACAGGGCTTCTATGAGCACCACTAACATTCCTTCGGCCTTTGCGTCTGGAGATGAGCTTGGCGAAACTTTCAATGGCCACGCCTATCTTTCAAATGCGGGCAGAGTGGATGCAGGGTCTTACACTCCGGATACCTTTGCCGGCAGCCAACTCCGATCCCACCAGTTTGACAATGGCCGAAGCGCTGTAAATGGTACCAGTGTTCGTCAGAGTCCCATGTACTCCCACAGCAGCACACCGCTGGTGTATGACCGTCTGAATCCTTATAGCAGCGAGCAAAACCTGGCCCATCCGAATAACGTTGCCCAACTGCAGAACAAACTAGCTGGCTTCCAGTTGTCCCAGCAGGGAAGGCGCAACTTCATTCCCCCAAACCAACTTCACCAGCAACAGTTCCAACACATGTTCCCCACCGCCCAGCTGCAGAACCCTTTCCAGTACCAGTTTGCCATGGCCAACGGCATGCCTCTGTCTGCACTACCGCAGCACATGAACATGGCTCAGATGATGCCTGGCCAACAACAGCCGCCCAGAGGACCTCGCGAACAAAACGCCGCCGATGCACTAGGTGCCATGAGCCCTGAGCTGGCAAATTTCAAGAGAGAGCAGAAGCAGAGCAAGCGATGGGAACTGACCGACATCAAAGGTCACGTGGTTGAATTTGCAGGAGATCAGCACGGCTCCCGATTTATCCAGCAGAAGCTTGAAACTGCAAACAGCGAAGTCAAGGAAAGTGTCTTCAGGGAGCTCGAGGAGAACGCGCTTCAGCTCATGCAGGATGTCTTTGGCAACTATGTCATCCAAAAGTTCTTCGAGCACGGTGACCAGACTCAAAAGAAGATTCTTGTTGGTAAGATGAAGGGCCATGTCCTGGAGCTTGCCAATCAAATGTACGCCTGTCGCGTAGTACAAAAGGTAAGTTTTTTCCTGCTTGTAGGCATGAACAAAGACTAATGGGGTCCTAGGCCTTGGAACACGCCCTCACCGAGCAACAAGCGTCCATGGTCAAGGAGCTTGAAAAGGATGTGCTCAAGACTGTCAAGGACCAAAACGGCAATCACGTCATCCAAAAGGTTATTGACCGAGTCCCGATGCACCACATCCAAAAGATTGTTGAGGCTTTTAGGGGCAATGTCGGTGTCTTGTCGGTAAACTCGTATGGCTGCCGTGTCATCCAACGACTGCTCGAAAAGGTGGAAGAACCCCAGCGTAGGTTCATACTTACGGAGCTTCACGCCGAGGGACCAAAACTCATCACCGACCAATACGGAAACTACGTGACGCAGCATGTCATCGAGCATGGCTTGCCAGAGGACCGAGCCAAGATTGTTGCTTTGATCAAAGCACAGTTTTTGGTCTTTTCAAAGCACAAGTTTGCTAGCAATGTTGTTGAGAGATGCCTGATCTGCAGCGACGATGCCCAGCGCCGCGAGCTTGTGTCCGTCGTCTTGTCTAAGAACGAGCGCGGTGAGAGCAATGTCATGAACCTGCTCAGGGATGGCTACGGCAACTATGTGATCCAGAAGCTTTTGGATACCCTCACTCGTGACGACTACGAGATGTTTGTTCAGTCACTCAAGCCGGAGCTTGAAAAGGCCAAGAAGGTTATTCCCGGCAAGCAGTGCGTATCGGTAAGCTGAGTGCAACAATCTGACTGGCTGATAGACGATTGGCTAACTCTTTCCAGGTTGAGAAGAAGATGAACCGCTACGACCGCATAGACTCACCCACCATGCCCACGCCTGCTCTCAGCAGCTCTACTCAGTCACCATTGAGCAGCACAAATCCAAGCACCAACGCATCGACCGTTGATGAGTCTGTCCCCAACGGCTCGTCTGACAGCAAAACCGGTGCAGCTGATACTACCGGCGGCGTTAACATTGAGAACACCGGCTCTTAGAGTGGTTTCTAGTCGAGAAGCACCTCGTTTCCGAGCCTTTGTAAACAGTATTGACAGGACCTGTGAAGTTTCATCTTGTTCATTCTTTGCTTTTTCGCCATGGGCCGGCGTATCTGCATTCTATTGTTCATATACCATACTTGATTTTTCTTCTCTTTCCATTCGTTGTTACATATCCTTTTTGTTCTCTCTCTCCTCACGCCAGTCTCCCCTGCATTCTCTCTTTTTTTTCTTGGTCTGGTGCCTCGGGAAAATATCGTTCAAATGGGCAGATGCCACCATGTCTTTTGTTTTTTCTTTCTTTCCATACACGTTACATGTCACACAAGAAGAACTTCCTCGGAAGTTTCTGACGGGTCTGTTGGCTTCTATGGGGAGTACTCGATTGTTTTACAAAAAAATGTCTCTATTCTTGATTCCTTGTTAGAAAAAGCTAC